TTTCTGACCCTCCCTCATTTGTGCCTGTGTTCTCTCTCATAATGATCAAAGTAAGCTTAAAAAAAGAAAAGTCTTTACAGACACCTACAAACATAGGTCTCCAGCTAAAATCCTATGAATGTCTTAAAGAGTTTCTTTGGTATTCGAAGTTACTAACAATCTTGGATACTTTGGTTCCGTGAGATAACAAGTGCCATTTTATAAACAAATTCTAAAGAGAATGAATTTATTCAATTTCTATTTCTGGTCATCTAAATGCAGGCATTTAAAATTCATCATGTTGGCAACAGTCTGATCATCCCCTGCTTAAAGCCTTTGTTTCTCAATGTAATTTAGTCCCAACTTTTAACAAGGCTTGTAAAAATCATTCAAAACCAGGTTCTTGCCCATCTATCCGCAAGTCCCCTTCTCCAACAAAAGCAAATAAGGGCTACAGCAGTAACACTACTCACAATTTCTCAGGCCTAAGATCTTCTCCAGCCCCTAGTAACTCCCACTCTCTCACGCTAATTCCCAGTATTTAACTGCACTTTAAGATGCCTTTCCCAACTACCCAAGTCTAGGTTATCAGATGCACCCCTCATGTGTGCTCTTCTAGACGCTATACATGTTCTACTGTGGCACTTACCACATTGTGTTACAAAAGCACATTTACTCTCTTATTTCTGTCACTAGACTGATGATTCTCTCAGGCTGAGTGCCATATCTACTACACTATCATGGTTCTACATTTTTGTTGAATAAATGAATACGGAAAATATCCCCAACTTACAACTAAGAAATGATGAGAAAATTGAACAGACTTCATAAAACAACGCACTATTACTAACTTAAGCTACTGTCTCCCCTTGTGAAGAAATGATACACACATTTTCCCTGAAGCAATCAAGCAAATATTAAAGAAATACCTAACATTTCGTGTGATAGTAGTATTGTTATGGTCTCTTAAAGTCCTTACATTTTAGAGGTATACAATGCCTTTAAAGCTTAAATGAGAAAAGTGCTTCAAAATAAAAGGTAGAAACTATAGTTACCATAATATTGCCAATAAGAAGTGCATGAATGTGGCATTGGGTATGGGCACATAGAATTCATTATAATATTTACTCTACTTCTGTATGTTTTGGGAAACTGCAAACAGCAGTTATGTATACACACAACACAGACTGCTGCCAACTTGAAGAAACCCAACACTTACCATGTACGATAGAATAAGACAGGAAATGCCTATGTTTCTGACAAAAAGAACATTTTGGTGACTGAACGAAAACTATCCAGTAAAATGCTTACATTAGATGTCATGAGCTGTAATTACTAATTCTTGTTTTCAAAGTTCACAAGTAAAAATGTGGACAGGATTGTTCTTTCTCAAACAGCTTTCAGTGTCAATGACAATATTTGCCAACATTCTGAAGATTTTAGAAAGAACATTTAGTTCAACTCCCTCCATAAATTATTAAACCTCCACTAAACAGGAGGCACACCTGAATTTGATAAATGATGAAAAAAACCTCACTTTATTTTTTGGGGGGAAAAGGGAGTATGCATGTGCGCAAGTGGGGGAGGGGCGGAGAGGAAGAATCTCAAACAGGCTCCACTCAGGCCCCATGCGGGCTCCACCTCACGAACTACAAGATCATAACCTGAGCCAAAGTCAGACACTTAACCGAATGAGCCACCTAAGTGCCCCCAAGAAATCTCATTTTAGATATTACAATATTAGAGTTAGAGTTAAGCCAACAGTTAAATATTTCACTTCTGGTTTGAGATCTACAATGTAAAAACCTCAATTTGAACTACAGAGTTCCTGTTACGTTATATAAAATATAATGAAAACTCTAGACCAAACCTTAACAATCCTTACAATCTGAGCTATTCAGATAATTAGCTATTGATACCTTCTCCCGCAAACACTGAAATCTTCCCATGTGGACACCAACTGAAAGATGCTCACACCAGGCAGTTACAATCATGTGCTTTCCTCATTACTGCAGTTGTTTGACTTAACAGAACTGCTTAATGCAAAAATACTAATAACCTCAAAGGAAATGTAAAATATTAAATGAGGTAGCAGGATGTATGACTGAATCTTTGAAATGGTATTAAAGCTTATTCGACTTAACTGAAAACTACTTTCTCTCAGATCCAGGGGTAGCAATCAACAAAGAAGGTGGAAATGCCTGTAAAACCCCAGTATGCCCTTTCCAAGATTTGTGCACAACAGTGGTTACACAGACACCATAACAAACAAAGGAAAGGTCGATAATTTGCATCACTTAAAAAGGACCTTCAAGTGCTATTAGGTCACCATTAAAAACCCAGGACTAATCAAGTGGGTCAGGATGCTGTAGTTCACAAGCTTTAGAATGCATGAGGCCATTTAAAGAAAATCCAGATTTCCAGGGTTTTCCCTGGGACCAAAAGAATCATTATCTCTTCAAGGTGAGGTACAGAAATCTGCATTTAAAACAAATTCCACAGGTCAGTCAGATACAGACATCCAAGAACTACTTTTTAACTACTAAGGTGAAGTTTCCATTCCAGTTGTTAAACAAAAGGACCCCACCCAGATGAAACAGCTTTTCCCATCTGGTGCAAATGTAGCAAAGAAAAATTTTCAGATAGAATAGGAATGTAAAAATATTTTGAAATATCAGGTTGCAGAATCATGAAACCCTTAGTATATGCCGGGTTGTCCATTGTCACAGGATTTTACCATTAACAACCAACAGCTTAAGAATATGCAAATGACCCGGAAGTGATGCCTCGAGCTTCCACAGCTTTATTACACCCAAGAGTAATTCGGTCTTATTTAGAAGAGGCCATGTGCTTTGTTCCAGATCAACCCCAACATTCTCCTTGCAGACATAAATCTGAAATACCAGTAATTGGCTTTTCAAGTCCCTTGATTGAGAATTAAGTACAACCTGCCACTAAAGGCATAAAGTACCTTGGTGACAAGCACTAAGGATTTAAATCAATGAGAAGCACTAAAAGTGAAAGATTATAGCTAAGATGACATAAAACCTAAGTCGCCAATCTGAGAGCCTCATTGCTAACTAAAAGCAATGCTCAGAAATAAGTCAGGCAGAGAAGGACAAATATCATATGTGTGCACGTATAGGAGGACTAGGAGGAACTTAACAGAGGACCAATCGGGAGAAGAAGGGGGGAAATGGTGGGGGAAAGGGAGAGAGGCAAACCATGAGAGACTCTTGAATGCTGACAAAAACTGAGGACTGATGGATGTGGGGGGGGGGGGATGGGCATGGAGGAGGGCACTTGTGGGGATGAGCACTGGGTGTTATGTGGAAACTAATTTGACAATAAACTATTTGTAAAAAAATAAAAAAATAAAAAAAAATAAAAGCAATGCTCAATAAAATACAACAGGAAAACAAAGTTTCTTCACAACACGTGTTCAAAACCAAGGAGGCACAGTCAGATTGCTCCAGTTGTTGAGCAGGCAACCAAAAGCAATTTTCTCTTTAATCGAAAATAGATAATGTCCAAAATGTCCTCTTTGCACATCAGCTAAATTGTACTGCCTTTTTTTTTTGCAAAGGTGGGGCGGAAAGATTCCGGTTAAGTAGCAAAAGAAAAAATGACTTCACCGTGACAAACAAATGCCTAGAAAGAAACAAAATCAAAACAACCAACAAAGTTACTCGGCTTCCTATTTTAACAAGCAGAGGGGAAAAAACCAAATATGAGACAGACAGAAAGAAAAGCTTTTAAAAAGCTTCACCTCTGTTGAGTTCAATGGCAAACGCGTGAATCTGACCCCACGCAATAAATTCTACTGTAACACTTCCTACTACTACTGGTTTCAGGCAACACCTCAACACAACTTCAGCCACTTATTTTTTAAGATCCCGAAAGGACTCGTCTAGGACCAACTACTTTTCCTGCATCGCAAAAGAGAAATTCTACTGACTAGAGCCTATATAAAAAAAAAATTTTTTTTAAAAAGTAAGCAACTTTTTCTTTTGATTAGCAACTGCCTTTAAGTTACCATGTCGTTTGGTTATAACCGCCAGCTAAGTAAAATTAAAATCTACACCTCCTCTTCAGGTAAGATCCAACATAAAACATTACACTCCATGTTCAAAACACCTGAAATAGACTGTGGTATCTGCAGAGAGTCAGTTACGTAGAATCGTGGAAAGTGAACAGAACTATAAAGCTTAGGTTCAGTTTCGCCACTCAACTTGCCAGAGACCTTGGGTAGCCTCTCAAGTCTCACCTCTGAAAATGGGATTGTAACATTTACCCTTTACTCACAAGGTTAAAATGACCAAATGACTTGTATTCAAGTAGAATTAACAGCGTTTTATTAGTTGCAGGTGTACAATATAATGATTCAACAATTCTACGTTTCTCACTGCCCATCAAGATACGTGTGCTCTTATCAAATGACTTTTATGTGAAGGAAAAAATCCTGACAACCATCTACACGAAGGGCTTACTAAGACGTACTGCTATCCAACAGTATCTATCATCATGATAACCCCTACCAAGTTATGACCTCTTAAAATTGTATTTCCTCATATAAGCGTCGAAACTGAACTACTACTAAATGAATACCGTGCCGCGGCTTTTACCGCTGATCCTGGCCAGAAATTGCGGTCTTAAATACGACGCTCAACCCAAATAACGGAAAAATCTGCCCTTTTCCCTATTTTATAAGGGGATGAACACTCCGGAGACTCTGGATGTAATAAAATCCTTTCCCGCGTTTCCCTGCCTCATTACGGCGCTTTTCAATTCTGCCAAGGGCCCTCCCCGACTTCCTTGGTACTAAAACAACACAACAAAAACAAATCATCGCTCATCCTCGGACCCAGGCGGGCTCCTCCCTCCCGCCACAGAATCAGAGACACTCGTCCCTGGCGCGGCCCGCGGCCCAAATCGCGCCGCGGGGCCGCACGGGGCCCCGGCCCGCGCCGCTCCCCTCCCCCACGGCACCCGGGCACAGACCCAAGGCCCGCGGGACTTACGCTCTCGTGGTCCCACCGCACGTTGCTGCGCTTCTCGTCCGGGGCGAGGTTTCGGTCCCGGCCCATTAACTCATCCAACAACTGCGCGGCCGAAATCATGGTGCTCTTCTCGGGCGGCTGCTCCCACCAGCCCTGGCACCCGCTAAAGAAAACGCCGGCGACACAGTCGCCAATCCTCCCCGGCCTGCTCGCAGGCCGAAAAGCCTCCTCTGAAGAGGAGCCGATAAGACAAAATGGCCGCCGCGCGGGCGCCCTCCCAGCATGCCGTGCGCGCGCGTGCGCCCGCGCGGACACGCCCAGGCCTAGGAGGTGTGGACGGGCCCGCTTCCGCCGGCGCGGGGGCGGAGCCTGCCAAGGCCGGGCCTGGACTCCGCCCCTGCCCCGTGGCACCGCCCCACCTGGCGCCCAGCGGATCTGACGGTCACGCAGCAACACAGCGCCGCACGCCTCCTTCCCCAGGCGCTCGTCTTCTCTGAGCTCTTTCGCGGGAAGAATGGGAGGTTACGTGTAGAAACCTGGACTCCGCTCCGATATGGAGAAAGGGGCAGTGTCTCCCTTCGCACCACGCGGTGCAGTGGGTACATCTTCCAGTGGAGGAAGCTGAAGACCTGCACTCCGATTCCGTGTTCCGATTCCCGCGTCCCTTGTCACTGCGCTCGCCGCCTCTGGTCATCCCGCCCCGATTCCCCTGATCAGGCAGAGTGTGGAGATTCGGTAATGCACCTGATGACCTGCCGGTCGAATTTTTAAAAATTTCTCACCTCGTCAACAACAGTAGTTACCGTGTGCCAGGTAAGCTCTTGAAGCTTGAAGCTAACGTCTGAACCTTTCAGATACAGTCCCTGTTCCCCCAGACCTTGAGGATTATTGGGGGAGACGGTCACTAAAGAAATAACATGAAATCCGCCAGTATGGATTGCGGTAAGTACTCCATCACAGTTCAGGGTATGGACTCTGAAGCCACATCAACCCAGCTCTGCCACTCAGTGTCTCCTTTTCCCCATCCGAAAAATGGGATTAATAATGGTCCTGTTAAAAAGAAAAAACAGACCCCAAAATGGAGTCACTGTTGATAAATCCCACTAAGAATGTGTAACTTTTAGCCTCTCCCAGGAGTAGAATTTAAACCAACAAATCTGGAATTTCCTGACCTGCACTGAGCCACCCAGGTGCCCTGAGCCTTCTACGTAAAAAACAAAAAAAAAGAAGAAAGAAAAGGGACGGCTGGGTGGCTTGGGTGGGTGGCTCAGTCAGTTGAGCGTCTGGCCCTTGATTTCACCTCAGGCCACGATCTCATGGTTTGTGGGTTCCAGCCCCACAGGATAGGAGCTGGCAGCTCAGAGCCTGCTTGGGATTCTCACTCTCCTCTCTCCTGTCCCTCCCCCACTGGAGTCACAACCTCTCAAACCTAAAGAAATAAACGTTAAAAACAGAAAAAAGAAAAGTATCCATTGGATTTTACAGTGGGGAGCCAGATTGGAATGGATTGAAGAATGAAAAGGAAATTAGGAAGTTAAATGGTGATTGGACAACTCATTTTAAGAAGGGAAGGGGTTAAAGGAGGGGAGAACTGAAAGGAGCTATGGGCCAACGAAGGCTTTTTTAATATGGGAAATTAGAATATGTTTAATGTCAGAGCAAGAGGTGGAAGATAAAAGTTGTAAGGTTTTTTTTTTTAGTGTTTTTAATGTTTATTTTTGAGGGAGAGAGACAGAGCGCGAGCAGGGGAGGGGCAGAGAGGGGGAGACACAGAATCTGAAGCAGGCGTCAGGCTCCGAGCTGTCAGCTGTCAGCATAGAGCCCAATCTGGGACTCAAACTCACGAACTGTGAGATCATGACCGAGCGGAAGTCGGACATTTGACCAACTGAGCCACCCAGGCACCCAAAAGTTGTAAGTTCTTAAGAAGGTAGCGCCTGGGTGGCTCAGTCGGTTAAGCGTCAGACTTTGGCTCAGGTCCTAATCTCACAATTTGTGGGTTTGAGCCCCGCATTGGGCTACCTGCTGTCAGCACAGAGCCCACTTCGGATCTTCTGTCCCCCTCTCCCTCTGCCCCTGCCCACTCAAGCTCTCTGTCTGTCTCTCTCAAAATAAATAGATAAACTTAAAAAAAAAAAAAAAAGGGGGGGGCGCCTGGGTGGCTTAGTCGGTTAAGCGTCCGACTTTCGCTTAGGTCATGATCTCGCGGTTCGTGGGTTTGAGCCCCGCGTCGGGCTCTGTGCTGACTGCCAGCTCGGAGCCTGGAGCCTGTTTCAGAGTCTGTGACTCCCTCTCTCTCTGACCCTCCCCTGTTCACGCTGTCTCTCTCGCTCTCTCCTAGAAATAAATAAAACATTTAAAAAAAAAAAAAAGGAATGTGGTAGTGGAACTCTTCTCTGCTAGATGGAATATTGCCCAATTCATGACTCCTTTAAAAAATTTTTTTTAAATTTTTTTAACGTTTTATTTATTTCTAGGAGAGAGAGAGAGAGAGACAGCGTGAGCAGGGGAGGGTCAGAGAGAGAGGGAGTCACAGACCGAAACAGGCTCCAGGCTCTGAGCTGGCAGTCAGCACAGAGCCCGACACGGGGCTCGAAGCCACGAACCGCGAGATCATGACCTAAGCAAAAGTCGGACGCTTAACCGACTAAGCCACCCAGGCGCCCCTCTTTAAAATTTTTTTAATGTTTTATTATTTCTGAGAGAGAGACACACACACAGTGTGAGCAGGGGAGAGTCAGAGAGAAAGGGAGACACAGAATCCAAAGCAGGCTTTAGGCTCCGAGCTGGTTGTCAGCACAGAGCCCGATGCAGGGATCAAACCCACAAACTGTGAGATCATGACCTAAGCTGAAGTCGGACACTTAACCGACTGAGCCACCCAGGCGCCCCTCATGACTCATTTAATAGAGCCAATTAGATCTTTCAAGTTAAAAAAAAAAAAAAAGATGATGATGGTGATATAGGCTTCAGGACATATTTGTAGCTTATTGCCTTTGCTACAAGAAAGGACCCTTTCTTTCTACGCTGAAACAAGAAAAAAGGCACCATCAGTTTGTAGATGTAGCAGTGAGATGAGAGAGTTCTCAGGTGCCAATGGCTACTCCTTGCTCAATGAAGCATTAAAAAAATTTTTTTTTAATGTTTATTTTTGAGAAAGAGAGAGAGACAAAATGCGAGCTGGGGAGGGGCACAGAAACAGGGACAGAATCCGAAGCAGGCTCCCGGTTCCAAGCTGTCAGCACGGAGCCCGACGCGGGGCTAGAACCCACAACCGAGAGATCATGACCCGAGCCGAAGTCAGACACTAAAGCGACTGAGCCACCCAGGAGTCCCTCAATGAAGCATTTTTTTTGAAGGCTCACCACTGCCACTACCACCAGAAGTGGGAAGGGAGGCAGTATAGATCTTGAACCTCGAAGAGTTCTTATAAAACCTGAATGCAGGTGCACCTGGGTGGCTCAGGCAGTTAGGCATCTGACTTCCACTCAGGTCATGATCCCACGGGTCGGGAGTTCGAACCCCACATCAGGCCCTGTGCTGACAGCCCCAAGCCTGGAACCTGCTTCGGATTCTGTGTCTCCGTCGCTCTCTGCCCCCACCCCCGCTTGCGCTCTGTCTCTCAAAAATGAATAAACGTTCAAAAAATAAATAAGATCGGGGCGCCTGGGTGGCTTAGTCGGTTAAGCGTCCGACTTTCGCTTGGGTCATGATCTCGCGGTTCATGGGTTCAAGCCCCGCGTCGGGCTCTGTGCTGACTGCCAGCTCAGAGCCTGGAGCCTGTTTCAGAGTCTGTGACTCCCTCTCTCTCTGACCGTCCCCTGCTCACGCTGTCTCTCTCTCTCCTAGAAATAAATTAAAATAAAATAAAATAAAAACATTAAAAAATAAATAAGATAAAATAAAACCTGAATGCAAAGTTCCAGCCTCTACTCACTAAAACTTTGAAATCGAATTTCCTCGTTCTTTCCAGCTTTACTGATATGTGCTCTGTGCCAGGAACTGGATTAACAGCTGGGAATGCCGAGACAATTGTAGAAGACCCTTTTCCCAGGGAGCTCCTGATCAATGGAAGACCAAAAAAATAAAAATAAATAAAAATTAAAAAATCAAGAAATAATAACTTGAAATGAAAATACTAAATGCCTTTGGATTTTATCCGGTCATACCCTCAGCAAGTCTTACACTACATACAACCCTGTTGCCCAGACCTCTAAGAGCGGATACCATTCCATGTGTATTCCAAGAACGGATAATGGATTCATTCATCTATCCTGCATTAATTCAGCCAGCACCGGTATCGTCCGTTTCAGACTCAGGGACTCAGAAAGAAAAGTAGTCTATTAACATCACAGTGCCCAGTGGTCTCCAGACCCCATTCCATACATCCTACTAAGGGAAAGTATTAATAGACTTAATTGTGTCCCTCTCTCCCTTACATTCATATGTTGAAGTTCTAATCCCCGGTATCTCATAACGTGACTATGTTTGATGATGAACGTTTATTTTTTTTTAATGTTTTATTTATTTCTGAGAGAGAGAGACAGCATGAGCAGGGGAGGGTCAGAGAGAGAGGGAGACACAGAATCTGAAGCAGACTCCAGGCTCTGAGCCAGTTGTCAGCACAGAGCCCGACGTGGGGCTTGAACCCACAAACTGTGAGATCATGACCTGAGCCAAAGTCGACCACTTAACCGACTGAGCCACCCAGGCGCCCCTGATAATGATGATGAACGCTTAAAGAGGTGATTAAGTTAACGGCGCGCCTGGGTGGCTCAGTTGGTTAAGCGTCTGACTTTGGCTCAGTGCACAGTCTCACGGTTTGTGAGATCGAGCCCCGCGTCAGGCTTTGTGCTGACAGCCCCGAGCCTGAAGTCTGCTTCAGATTCTGTGTCTCCCTCTCTCTATGCTCCTCCTCCGCTTGCGTGTGCGCTCTCTCTCTCTAAAAAATAAACATTAAAAAAAATCTTTAAAAAAATAAAGAAGTGATTAAGTTAAAATGAGACTGTTGGGGAATGGAGGGCTGGGGAATCCGATATACCTGGTGTCCTTATAAGAAGAGGTTTGAACAAAGAGACCTTAAGAGGCACACACAGAGGGGAGACAGCCATCTGCAAGCCAAGGACAGAGGCCCCAGGAGACACCAAACTTGCTGACACCTTAATCTTAGACTTTCCACCTCCAGAACCATGAGAGAATAAATTCCTCTTGTTTAAACCAACCAATCTGGTATTTTGTGATGGCTGCTCCAGTGAACTAACATGGAAAGGAAACGAGTTACTACAGGTCTCCTAACTGCTTCCCAGTTTCCAGTGCGCCTCCCCCCCCCAGGATGCCGTCCGCCCCCTGCTCTGCTGCCTCAGGCATCTTAATGTCAATCCAGTCCTGTCTCTTTCCCGTTCATAGTTCTTCTATGGCTCCCTATCACCCCCACTCAGAAACCACAAGGTCACCCATGATCTTGACCTGTCTCTAACTTCATCTGTTACTGCTCCCCCACACCTTCTACACCCCAGCTCCCTACCTCATTACACTACATTCCACTGCTCTGGGCAAGGATGCTCTTCCCTCACTCCAGCCGTTACCGCCCATCTTTCTCAGCTCCCAGCCCAAGCATCACCAGCTCCCTGAAGCCAACCTGGAGCCTCCTTCTTCACCTGCCACACACAACGGAGCACCCTCTTTTCTGTGCCGCGATGTTACCACACACACACTTGCACATTTTGAGGTTGGCCACACAATATTGCAAATATGAGTCTTTCCCTTTAAAACGAAAGTTCTTTTTGGTGATACGCCATTTTGTATTCATCCCTGTATTCCCAGATTCCCACAGAGGATCTAATACATAGGAAGTAGCTCCTGTTCACTCCCAACTCCATGATAGTCTGGCTGTCATCCTGACCGCTCTATTGCAACTTCCTTCTCCAAGGCCACCAGCAGTCTCCTCGGGGCTAAATCTATTCCACACGTTTCCAGTCCTTTCTTTCTTGCCCTATCTGCAGCATTTGGCCCTGGGGTTTCTCCAAATTTCCCCATTCCTTTGCTTTTTCCTCCTCTTCATCTCACTCGTGGATTCTCTCCTGCCCATCATTACAATGTTGAGTGTTCTTTGGGGGCTCTGTCTTTGGCTGTCTATTCAACACACTCCGCTGGGGCTATCTCTTCCTTTTCCATGACCTCATTTGGCACCTTGTACTGATGATGAGCAAATCCAAATCACCAGCCCAGAACTCCTTTCTAAATGTCACGCTGTCACACTCCTATACACAACTCATCACGGGCATCTCTATTTAAATGAAAACCAGGGGCACCTGGGTGGCTCAGTGTGTTAAGCATCCGACTCTTGATCTCACCCCAGGTCATGATCTCCAGGTTCGTGAGATTGAGCCCTGAGTCGGTCTTTGTGCTGACAGTGCAGAGCCTGCTTGGGAGTCTCTCCCTCTCTGTCTGCCCTTCCCCTGCTCGTTTTTCAGCCCATTTAAAATTAAATTTAAATTTAAAAAATTTAAAAAAGGAAGAAAATCAAAAAAGAAAGCACAGGTTCTGGGGTCAAACTGTGTGAGTTCAAAGCCTTGCTCTATCACTGAGCTGTATCATGTTGGGCAAGTTACTTAACCTCTCTGTGCCTCAGATAATCATGATGGACCTACCTTTATGGGGTTGTTGTGAGAGTTAACTGAGATAATCCGCGTACAGCACTTAGGGTAGTACCTGGCAATGCGTAAATGTTGGTAGAAGCAGTAATTAAAGGTCGACAGAAAGCTCAACTCAGGAGATTCAAGTGAATTCATCGCCATACCTGAAACCTGTTTCTTCCTTCTTTGACTCAAATCTCAGTAAATGGCACCATAATCTCCCCAGCCAGAAACCTGGGTGTTATCCTTCTTTCCTGACCACCACTGCCCTCCCATCCTAACAGGCGCTCTTGATTGAACCTTATCGTAATGTACCTACGAGCTACTGAGCGTTTCCAGCGTCCAGACTTTACACACTCATTCAATCCGCAGAACGATTGATCCTGCAAAGTAGATGCTATTATTATCATCCCTATTTGCAGATGCAGAATTTGAGGCACAGAAAGGTTAAATAACTCATCTAAGATGATATGAGTGGCGAAAGCTGAGATGCAAATACATGCCGGCTGGTTTTAATCTTCCTGTTCACAAACACCGCACCATATGCCATACTGCCTCTATTGTAAGACTTCTCGCATTCTACTGTTTGCCTCGTTTCCCCTGCTAGACTGTCTGTCCTTGGAAACCAGTGACTCTCATTTTGTTTACAGCAATACCTTCAGTGACTAGAATAGTTCCTGGCAAACAATGCATGCTTAGTAAACCCAGTAAGCAAGAGGTGAGGCGAAGTATAGACAAATGGAAGTAAAAGAATAGCTATCAGGTTGCATTCAGTTGTGGCCAGTGTTAAAGATTTAGTTTGTGGAAAAAGCTGGTTTGTTTGTTTTTTTAAGTTTATTTATTTATTTTGAGAGAGCGCAAGAAGGGTAGAGGCAGAAAGAGAGGGAGAGAGAGAATCCCAGACAGGCTCCACGCTGTCAGTGCAGAGCCCAACTCGGTGCTCAACCCCACAAACCATGAGATCATGACCTGAGCTGAAATCAAGAGCTGGGTGCTTAGGGACGCCTGGGGGGCTCAGTCGGTTGGGCATCTGACTTCAGCTCAGGTCTTGATCTCATGGCTTGTGAGCTCGAGCCCTGCGTTGGGCTCTGAGCTGACAGCTCAGAGCCTGGAGCCTGCTTCAGATTCTGTGCCTCCCTCTCTCGCTCTGCCTCTCTCTCTCTCTCTCTCTCAAGAATAAATAAAACATTTTAAAAAAATTTAAGAATTGGATGCTTAACTGACTGAGCCACCCACACACCCCAAGTGTTTTTTATGTTAGGATAACAAGGAAGCAGATTGGAGTCCAAGATAAGCAAAGGTTGAGTTTAAGAAGATATTAATATCTACTGATTTAACAGTTACAGTGGGGCACGTGCCCTAATCCTCTTAAGAAAGGATTCACAGACTTTGTTGTGCTGTCACTGCCATTTTTTAAAACGGCTTTTTAATGATTTATTTTTTAATTTACATCCAAGTTAGTTAGCATACAGTACAATAATGATTTCAGGGTAGATTCCTTAATGCCCCTTACCCACGAAGCCCATCGCTCCTCCCACAGCCCCTCCCACAACCCCACCAGCAACCGTCTGTTTTAAAACTGCTGTTTAAAAAAAGAGACCGCTACCTACTTCCCTATCACTCAAATTATGTTAAAGGACCCAATTCCAGTGCTGTGCTCGTCAGACGGAGCATCAAGCTGGATCTGAGAATTAAAATTTAAATTGGGGGACGAATAAAAATGTAAGCTCAAGCTGAGTTCCAATTTGCCTTGGGGACGATTTAAGTGCGCAGTCAGTTTATATGCAGCACCACCTGGTGCGCACTGAGCCCAGTGTGAATTACCGTGTCATAAAATAAACAAACCTGGGTCTTCCTGAAGCAGCAACAAGAAAAATGCTTGCTGGGCAGCCCCAAGAGAGAGTAACTGAAAACTGCATGGCTAAAGTTCTCCCTTCCTATTTCTTCTCCTCTTTGTGTTCAGGTCTTCCACTTTTCCATCACAGGGTTATTTCCTTAAACCCCCTGTCCGCATCTGCGAGGTTCCATCCTGTGCTGTGCCACACTGGAAGATCTCTCCCTCTCTCTCTCTCCCTCTCCCTCTCTCTCCCTCTCCCTCTCTCTCCCTCTCCCTCTCTCTCCCTCTCCCTCTCTCTCCCTCTCCCTCTCTCTCTCTCCCTCTCTCTATCAGAGGCACTTGGGCTAAACCAGTGCCAACCGAGGCTCTGAGCCCCATGAGACTGATCAGGCAGGAGTCAGGCAAAATGCTGTGTATAATACACACCATGGCTCTCCGGCGAGATCCTGGCATCAGCACGGGGAGAGAGAACGCCACCATCTCTGCGGTGTTGCTTTCTTTTATCCTTACACGGCCTTCGTGAGGAGTAATCAGTTATGGTTTATAATCAGTAATAAATTACAGTTTATAGTCTCTGGGCACAATATAAATATTTTCCCCCGCAAGCCAAGTTAGAAGAAATAGGTCTAAAATGAGATGTAAAACCACAGCGATTGAAATAAATATTCCAACTGGCTGGTCCCAAGCACTGTCAAAAGAAGAAAGAACAGTGTAATCTATCTCTGCAATTACGGGCATGTAATAATAGGATCGTTTTTCATCCCATTTCCCCGTCCTGCTGGGCAAGAGTCGGTTCAGATAAGGAAAAAGAGCCCAAAAGACTTGGGCCGGGGGTGGGGGTGGGGGGGCGGTGTGAAGAAACACCAATTATTTCTGATGCCTGGTAAACAGCCTGCGCCCGAGGATAAGGCTTTTCTGGCTCTCGGCGAGGCTTTCTTCTCTTTCCCGGTGTCTGTCCTCCTCCTCTGAAGCTGCGGGGTGGGGACGTCTAAAAATAGTCCATGAATCACGGCAGATCATGTTGTGCAGCAGTTACATAAACAGCCAGCCCGCGCGCCGGGGCCGAGGGTAGGAACGGAAAAGATCTGGGTCAGGGTTGTCACTCCGAATAGGGTCCCCCGGAGGCGGCCTGCGGGAGGCGCGGCCGGGGCGGAGGCTGGGGCCTGCGGCCGGGAGCAGCCGGGGAGCGGCGGGCGGCGCGGCGGCGGCGGCGGCGGCGGGCGGGAGCAGCGGCCCCGGGCCGGGCGCGAGCAGGGCGGGCGAGCCCCGCGCGCTCCCCATGGCGGGCAGCGGGCCGCGGCGGCGGCGGCGCTGACGGTCCCGGGGCGGGGCGGGCAGCCGGCTGGGGCCTGGGCCCGAGGGGGAAGATGAGCGCCCTCCTAGAGCAGAAGGAGCAGCAGGAGAGGCTGCGGGAGGCCGCGGCCTTGGGGGACATTCGGGAGGTGCAGAAACTGGTGGAGAGCGGGGTGGATGTGAACTCCCAAAATGAGGTCAACGGCTGGTAAGTGGGGGAGCGGGGGAGGCCTAGGTCCGAGCAGCCGGCGGGGCCGGGGCGTGGGGCGGGGTCGCCCGCGGCCGAGGCCCGGCCGCCCGCCGAGGCGTGGCCCGACGCCTGGGCCTCGGAGGCCGCGCGCTCGCGAGGCCTGCGCGGGCCCCCCTCCCCTTCTTCCCCCCCTTGCGCCCTGCGCGGCGCCGTCGGGCGCGCGCGGCCCGCCCCAGTCCCCGCCCACGTGGTCCTCCCCGGGCAGCGCCCACCCCGAGCCCCGGCCCCCCTCCCGCCCCGCACCCCCTTGGCTCCCCGCGGCCCGAGCCCTGCCGGCTACGGTTCGGTTGATTTCGCCCGCTCGCGCGGAGCTCGCCCCACTTGGCGTGTGCGATGATTTTGCCATAGGAGCTTCTGGAGAACACACCTGTGCAGAGCAAAAAAAAAAAAAAAAAAAAAAGCAGAAGCAACTGAGCGAATACGAATCTTCTAAATTAGCAGGATTTCTTTTCCCAAGACCGGAAACAAAACAAAACAAAACGAAACCCAAATCACTTTGCATCACTATCCTGCCTGTCCGTTGCCCCGCCGCAGCCCGGATTTGCCGCTGCCTCCAGCTGCCTGTTGAGGGAAGACTTACTCCTTTATCCCATAGAGGGTGTTGCCTTGTTTTCTTCTGACAGTTTTAGGTGCAGAATTTGAATTCAAGACGCTAGATGCCTGCCCGGCGAACCGAGTCCTTCCCAATTAAATAAGGAGTCACCTTTTAGGATGCCCCGGTCCGATTTTTAGTGTTAAGTTACTGGGTGTGGTAGTCTTCTGCCCTCTTCACATTTCAAATTAAATTGTTACTGGCTCCAAGTCATGCTTTTAAGCAGCCTGTTTTTCCCAGCCTAGAATTACCGTGAGCTTGGAGATGTTTTATTTTATTTTTTCGAGTGGCATCCTACATCTTGGAACTGAGAAGGACCTCGGAGATGGGCCCCGGGGCAGAGAATGACCACACAGCTATGACCGCAACTGCGGTTTCCAGGACTCCCTCACAAAGTTACTTGCCTCCTGCAGAACAGCCTGGACAGCTGTCCGGGCGGCCGGAGACAGTAGACACGACTGCCTTTTGTTTTGTGTTCTTTAAACGTGTTTGCAAGCAAGTTTGCTGTTGGGTGCGTACCTTCTCCGAGCGCCGGCTCTGTGGCTCACAAGCTGTGACTCGCTGTTTTGGCAGTGGGAGGCAGTGTTGGGTAGAGGAAGAAGCCTGATCTTTCCCTGGGCTCTCCATTCCTGCTTAGCTCATACCACCTCCCTGACTCACTTCAGTCTCCAGTTATGTGAGAAGAGAGTTGTGACCATTGATGGAGATGAAGCAGTGTAGAAATAGCTCACGTCTTGAGTTTGCTCTGTGACATGAGCCAGGCTCTAAGAGCTCTGCCTGTACTCTCTCGTTCCCAACTCCTCCAAAACAGAGCTGTTGCTATCCTCTCCATTTTACAGATGAGGAAACTGAGGCCCAGGAAGATTAAGCAATTTCCCCCAAGGTCATAGAAATTACGAGAAAGGAACCCAGCATCTGACTCGAGACCCTGCTTTCCTAATCACGACGCCTGCCGCGTAGCAGGTGCTCAGTAAACGGAGGCTGAATCTGAAGCAACCTGAAGAGGCCTCTCATAGACTTTTCGGGGAGGATGTCTATTAGGCGCCTCATGTCCGAGGTTCAAGGTTGAATTCCTGATCTCCCCTCACCCCCCTACCTGCCCCAAGCCTGCTCCTCTGAGTCCTACTCAGCTCAGCGTCTGACAGGTTCAGCCCAGAACCCTTGGTGACCTCCTTTCTTCTGTCTTTCCCTCACATTCCACATCCAGCGTGTCGGCTAATTCTGCCAGCTTCTCCTACAGCTCTTGTCAGAATCTGACCACTTCTCACTAGCTCTTCCTTGACACCTCTGGGTGCACCTCTGGTACACAGCCACCATCATCCTGGTGCCCCGATGCTCACTATAGCCCCCCCGACCCCCAAACTTGTCTCCTTGTACCCTGTAGTCGTTTCTCAGCACAGCAGAGGGATCCTGACTTAAAACCTAAGTCGAAAGTCACATCATTTCACTCTGTTCAAAACCCTCTAATGGCCCCCATCGCACTCTAGGACCCTCGGCGCTTTTACTCAGAGTTTCTGCTTCCAGTCCCCGCCGTCCTCCCTCCCTCCCTCTGTGCCTCATCCCCAGACTGGCCCCCTTGCTCCCCTCATTCTGCCTCCCGGCCTCCTCACTCTTCCTGAAACACCAGGCACAGTCCTGATTCAGGACCTTTGTGTCTTTTCTTCCAAGTCTAAGACCTCGTCAGGTCTTAGCTTAGATGTCACCTTGGTGAACCTTTCCTTTGACCTCGGCGTAAAATGGCACCCTGCTCCTCCCCTGCCTCTGGCATTCCCAGGTCCCCTCCCTTGTTTTATTCTCCCTGTAACAATCACCGGAGCATACTGTTTGTTCTGCTCATTTACTTGCCAACTGCCACCATTTCCTCTTCTGTAAAGTGGGAGGGACGTCAATAATACCACTTAATTAAAAGGTTGTGCAGAAGATCGAATCAATTTATATATAAATATATATAAATAATTCATATATATAAATAATATATACATATATATATATGAAGCCTTTAGAATAACATCCCCTATGTAAAAAGCATTCTGTTTGTGTTAACTATCACTTTCTTATTATTGGGCAGAGTGCTGGCATTGAAAACTTAATCTCTAGCATAGAAAGGCAGAATGCTTAGTGCTTTTCCTTTGTCGTTGGGCAGTAACCACACCTTCAGCCCTGATGAAGGATGTCCAGCCCCTCTGGTCTGAAGTACTTCCCAGGACTAACCGGATATTCTGACTGCAAATTGAAAGCTTAAAGAGTTGAAGTTCAAAGATAGAGTTCCCACATCAATCGTAATTCAAGTGCTCAAGTGCCGCGCCTACCCCTTGGCTTTAAGGAGCAAGTAGAATGGCTCACGAAGAAGCTGGCAATATTGCCTGGCTGCACTGGCCCTGACTTCTGGCCACCAGAGCCACACAGGTCTGGACTGTAAGCGATGGCCACTCAGAGCACGTGGTTGTGGGGGTCGCGCTGCGTTGCCTTCACCCCACTTTACATGGCGATGCTTCAGCTAGTTGATTTTCCCAGGGTGTCTCAGACCCACTGGCAGTAAATTACCTTCTTCAGTCTCAAGCTTGTCACGAACAAGTGATTTACTACCAGCAAGTGAGCACTTTGTTTCCAAAAGGGAACATATTTTTCTCATCATGCTCCATTCATTTTTGAACGCTCGCTTCTCATTATAATTATTCACTTTTCAAGCCCGTGCCACAGAGATCCACAGACAAACACTCTCTCAGCTGCAGTTTGCCCACAATCAAGGATGTACTGGATCCTTCTACTCGGACCAGGGTCCACCTTGTTCTTGGTTCCCTTGTTCCGCAATTAAGTACCTGCACGTCCAAGCAGATACTTCCTTATCTCCATGAGCTCCTATTTCAGAAGCCTACATTAAGCCTCCTCTTATTTTTCCCAAATTGGCAGTCTTTAGAGAGTACACCCTAAGGGTATCAGGATAATCTAATTCTAATGAATAATCGTGTGGAATATCACTCTGAAACATTGGTGGAGTCCCAGCCAGCCAGCCAAGCTAGCTCTGTGTAAGTCCGAAATGTTGAGGAGGCCAGGGCAGATCAACTTCCCCTCAGAACCAAATGAACTTTAAGGATAGTTGTGCATTCCAGGTTAGTGACCTAGCTTAATTCTTGCTACTGAACGTTATTGTCCTGTTCTTTATCTTATCCAGTTTTGGCTGGAAGCTCTGAAGAAATTTTCTCCACTTAATTAGAGAATGGGTGAGGGCGTTTCAGAACAGAGGGGGAAAAGGATTTTCCTTCCACAATGTCATTCCGCTTTGGCAACTGGGGATGAATTTAGCGACTCTGAATCCCTCCATTTCTGTTAAGATGGAGTTTTTACCAGCATGCTAATTATATTTCTATGCAGTGTTAAAACAATAGCCCTCCAGAGTGTGCGTAATCCCTTCCTGTATGTACAATAATAAATAATTCGTTTTACTTAAATGAGTCTAATATGTTAGAAGAGTTCTTGAAAATTTTGGTCGTTGATGTACATTTTGAAAGTGCCTTAGGAATTAAAGTCTGTGCAGTGCCTTACATTTAAGCAGATGAGGGTATGTTTGTAGCCTTCTGGAGAGAACTAGAGGAGCCAAGTATTTTAAAAATGGAAATTTCAAAACTGTGTGTGTGTGTGTGTGTGTGTGTGTGTGTGTGAAGGAAAGAAAAGGAAAAAGAGTTAGCAACTGAGATTCAGCCAGGAATGTCTACTGTAGCAATAATAATTTTAGTGACAGAGCAAGCTGTAGATGATTATTAGCCTGATGAGATTTAATCTGCATGTGTCATTTGATACATATGAAGCAAGTTTCCATTGTCCCTAAACAGGAAAGTGGCACTATAAAAACATTCCAAAGAGACTGGACATTCTAATGAGCGTTGCTGATAGACCACTCGGCAATCCCATTAGAGTTAGCCAGCCAGCCTCCTGGAACTCATCGAAATGAAAACTCCTAGGATGAATTAGTTTTTCCCAAGGGTTGGAAATGAAATTTAAAAATAAATTTCAAGCATACCAAATATTTTGATCATCCGCTTTCTGAAAAGAAAAGTTGAGGTTACCTGCCTGGTCGCCTGGCTCTTGCTGAACTCTTTAACAGGCTTGCGTGCATTCATTGACTAGCACCTGTAATTTGAAATCGCACTTCACCTCTTCTCTTTTGAACCCTTTTCTCCTTTTCTTCGGACAGGACCTGTTTACACTGGGCATGTAAACGCAATCATGGTCAGGTGGTCTCTTACTTATTAAAATCAGGAGCTGACAAAGAGATTCTTACGACAAAAGGAGAAATGCCAGTCCAGTTGACGTCAAGGAGAGAAATCAGGAAGATCATGGGGGGTGAGTCTGTGTTTGGGGGCAACTTTTGATTTTGTCAAACTCGTTTGAGACTTGCAATACCATTGGCTGCGTTCTTGATTGCCAGGCAAACCACAAATCTATTTTTAAAAGCAAAAGGTGATACTACTGTGCCTGGATAGCAACTCCATGTTGTTTCCAGATAGGCAGGCGTTAGAAGGTTTTATTCTTTCAGTGTGTGAAACTGAAGGCAATCAAAACGGCGACCATAAACCTAAGGAAACACTCTTTCCTCTTCTGATTTGAAGAGGCAGTAAACACCGAACAAAATACGCCTTATACCAAAGGACACTAGCTTTCACAAGACACTCTTTTCCTGGTAATTTTTAAAGGCCTATGTAAATGTTCTGCGTTTTCTTCTTTGTAAAGTGGAAGAAGATGATGGTGACGACAGCCTCCCCCAGCTGAAGAAGGAGTCAGAACTGTCCTTTGTTCCCAACTATTTGGCCAACCCGGCCTTCCCCTTCCTTTACACCCCTGAGGCGGCTGAGGACCCGGCCCCGCTCCAGAACGGGGGCCCCTCCACACCTTCTGCGTCACCCCCTGTGGACGGCGCCCCTCCACTGCTGGCCGCCGGGGAGCCTGCCCTGGTCGGGCCCTTTCCACGGGACCACGCCTCGCTGGCACTGGTTCAGAACCGGGACGTGTCTGCCCCCTCGGCCATACTCAGAACACCAGAAAGCACAAAACCGGGTCCTGTCTGTCAGCCCCCAGTGAGTCAGAGCCGCTCGCTCTTCTCCTCTGTCCCGTCCAAGCCACCAGTATCTCTGGAGCCTCAAAATGGGACGTATGCAGGGCCAGCGCCAGCCTTCCAGCCGTTCTTCTTCACGGGGGCATTTCCGTTTAATATGCAAGGTAACCCTGCAGAGGTCCACAGGTCTGGTGTTTCACTCCCGGGTCTTGGGGGTGGGGGGATTGGGGTGGGATTTATGTATGTATGTATTTAGGTATTTAGGGTCTAATTGCAAACGTACAGAAGTTTTCCTAAGAGCAAGGACAGTCTGTTACGTAACCACAGTCCAGTGATCCCGTTTAGGAAGTGTAACCTTGCTATAGTACCACTCTCCAAGCCATCTGCGTTCTCTAATCCAGGCCATATTTATTTTTTAATTAAAAAAAATTTTTTTATAGTTTAATTTTGAGACAGAGAGACAGAGCATGAGCAGGGGAGGGGCAGAGAGAGAGGGAGACAGTGAATCCGAGACAGGCTCCAGGGTCCGAGCTGCCAGCACAGAGCCCAGTGCGGGGCTCGAACCCGCAAACCACGAGATCATGACCTGAGCCGAAGTCGGACGCTTAAACGACTGAGCCACCCAGGTGCCCCTCCAGGCCACATTTAAGTGTTGGTGCCCTCTGCAGCTCTCTGTGCTCCCTCCACCCCTGTCCCTTGCCCGGGGTCACCTGTCGCCTCTGGTTATCATACTGTTCCACTCTCCTTTCACCTGGCAGCTTCCTCAGCCCTTCTCTATCATCTTGGACCTCAATATTTTGTGTAGAGTCCAGGCCAGGCATTGTATAGAACATGGTCTCCTATCTGGGCACCTAGGTGGCTCAGTCAGTTAAGCCTGGCTCCTGATTTCTGCTCAGGTCACCATCTCCCTGTTTGGGGGATGAAGCCCCGCATCGGGCTCTGTGCTAGCAGTGCAGAGCCTGCCTGGGATTCTTGCTCTCAGCCCATCCCCTGCTCACGGGGGCACTCTCCCTCTCTCTCATAAACAGATAAACTTAAAAAAAAAAAAGAATACAATCTCCTATTATCTTTCTCTAGGGACTAGTTAGTATCCTATTGTAAAGAAGGCCCTCCCCTTCTCCCCCATTTAGATCCGTATGAACTCGTAGATTCTTTATTATTAGGTTATAATTCGTTACTATCATTATCTTGATGTTCAAATTATACCAGATCTGTCCAGAGGGAGCCCATCCGAGCCAGTTCTCGTGTCGTTTGGACACCTGCCACCATCCTTGGAGCACTTCCTCCCTTTCTGGTGCAGCAAGAGGCTCCAGGCTCTGAGTGTGACTTTCCATGCCCCCGCCCTGGAGGCCACCATTTCTCCGAGGCGCCCTTGGTCTTCCTGGTAGAGAATGGGGTTCAGAAACTAGGATGTGGACACTGGGTGCACTTATGCTCCAGGAGCGTCATGGCCTCTGGGCTACACAGAGCCAGGGAAGGGAGGGAGGAAGGAAGGAAGGAAGGAGCGAGCAAACAGAAACACCTGTATATAGTCCTATTTACATTTCCCCCTGTGTTTCTATATATATTTATCTTTATAAACGTATTAAAAACAAGTTCATCCTGATCCCTCCAATTCCAGACAGACACCCCAGTGTACAGTCTAGCCTAACCTTTACTTTTTGGCTGACTTTCTGGCTTTAAGGACATGCTGTTATACATGCTGAAAACAGTGGCCTAGCGGTGCTGTGAGGGATTCCTATAGAAGGAGCAAAACAGAACCACCAAGCCCACGGAGGTGTTTGGCCTGGGCCATCTTGGCAGCCAGGCTCAGAATTTAAGGGCAGAACTGCTTAGATCCTGGACCCTTAAGTAATAGTGCTTTTTTTCTTCCCAAAGTCCACCCAGACTCCTTCCTTGTTGAGGTAAGCTGCATTCAGATCACAGTCAGACCGTCGTTTCATTAGTAGCTTGTCTTTCTGCTCTTTTACCGTGTTTATTGCAAGGAATTGCAAATTTCTTTTTAATTTTTTTAAAATAGTTACGTATCTTTGAGAGAGAGCGAGAGAGCGTGAGCATTGGAGGGGCAGAGAGAGAAGGAGACACAGAATCCAAAGCAGCCTCCAGGCTCTGAGCCACCAGCACAGAGCCCGACATGGGGCTCAAACCCACGAACTGTGAGAGCATGACCTGAGCTGAAGTTGGACGCTCAACCGACTGGGCCACCCAGGCACCCCAGGAATTTCATATTTCATAAATATCTTTAGAGTCACAATTATTAAATCCTTTTAGAGGAACTCATATCCCATATCTTGCCTGTGCCTTCTTTCCGCCTCTCTTCCCCTGCTTCTGTGTGATTTGATACCCAGACCTGTTCATAAGCTTTTACCTGCTCAGCACCGGCAGCAGAAGTTAATTATCCTTCAACACATGGGGTGGCTGTTTCCCCCCAAATACACGCCCCTTTTACTTCGTGAACCGCAGCCCTCGAGGTGGGGAGGACAGTGCAGGGAACTGTGAGCAGAGCCAGAACCAGGGCTGAGCAACCCCCATGCTGACGGTGCTTGGTGTTCTCGTTGGGTGGCTCAGGTCTTCGGCACAGGCCACAATCATGTATCACCAGCTTCTGGAAAAGATCTTAAATTACGTCAGCTGACTATGCAGGAACCATTCATTAACATTTCTCCCTCATTTTTTTTTTCTTCTTTTTTTTCTAGAGCTGGTACTCAAGGTGAGGATTCAGAACCCATCTCTTCGAGAAAATGATTTCATCGAAATTGAACTGGACCGACAGGAGCTCACCTATCAAGAGCTGCTCAGAGTGAGCTGCTGTGAGCTGGGCGTTAATCCAGACCAGGTGGAGAAGATCAGAAAGTTACCCAATACTCTGGTAAGAAAGGTAAGAAAGGTCTGTGAAGCATGACTGGCTGCTTGCTCTTTTGCATCTGGAAAATACCCAGCTTCCTCCTCTGCTGGATGAATCATAGTTAAGAATTGAAAAGAGGCTAGAAAAGGAGCAAAGGGTGGTTTTCCGGATGTCATCCTTGAGCTTTCTTCCCCTCCCCTGGTCTACAGGGACATGACATCTTTGAAAGTTGCAGGATACCAGAGAGAATGTTCTGAATTACCATTCACATGGGCCTGGTTTGGGGCGGCTGCGTAGCGACATGTAAGGATTACTTGAGTGTACTATCAGATGTGCCCCGTGTTCTGTGACGTAAGAACCAGGTAAAATTATAGGGCAAGCCCACACCGCTGCCTGTGTGGTCCTCCCGACGTTGCTGGCTTCTCAGGGCACCCGGGGAAAACTGGTCTGAATGGCCTCTCGCTCCAGGGTGCGCTCATCGGGTAGTAGCTGCTGCGTTCGCGGCTTCCACCCTTCCACCCTCCGTCCAGCCCAGCTCACACCCCCGAGGACTTTCCGGCACAATCACCAATGGCCTGCCGCAGGGGTTTTTTTCTTCTAGGCTTTTTTAAAAAAAAATTAATTTAATTTTTAAAATTTTTTAATGTTTATTTATTTTTGAGAGAAAGAAAGAACGTGATTGGGGAGGGGCAGAGAGAGGGGGGGAGACGCAGAGCCCGAAGCAGGCTCCAGTCTCTGAGCTGTCAGCACAGATCCTGACGTGGGCCTCCTACTCAGGAACCACGAGATCATGACCTGAGCCAAAGTCAGACGCTTAACCGACTGAGCCACCCGGCCGCCCCTAATTTTTTTTTTTAATGTTTGTTTATTTTTGAGAGAGAGACAGACAGAGCATGAGCAGGGGACAGGCAGAGAGAGAGGGAGACACAGAATCAGAAGCGGGCTCCAGGCTCTGAGCCATCAGCACAGAGCCAGATGCGGGGCTGGAACTCACGGACTGCCAGATCATGACCTGAGCCAAAGTCGGACATTTAACCGACTGAGCTACCCAGGCGCCCCTCTTTTAGGCTTTAAAATGAGCTAAGGGAGCCTCAGTCAGTTAAAGCGTCTGACTCTTGATCTCGGCTCAGGTCATGATCCCACGGGTTTGTGAGTTCAAGCCATGCCTGGGGCTACACACTCTGCGCAGAGCCAGCTTGGGATTGTCTCTCTCTCTGTCTCTCTTTCTGTCCCTCCCTTGCTTGTACTCTCTCTCACAGAATAAATAAACCTAAAAACACGTTTTAAAATAAATAAATAAATAAATAAAATGGGCTAAGATACTGGTATCAACACAACACTCCAAACATAGACAAGCAGTGCTTCTTTTTTTTGAGAGAGAGAGAAAAAGAGAGAGTGAGTAGGAAAGGGGCACAGCGACAGGGAGAGTATCCATGCCCAGTGCAGAGCCCAACATGGGGCTCGATCCCATGAATGTGAGATCGTGACCCGAGCCAAAATCAAGAGTGGGACGCTCAACTGACTGAGCCCCCCAGGCGCCCCGACGAGCGGCTCCCCTTAATGTGTTTAACCTGTTTTGTTTTAGGACAAAGACGTGGCTCGACTCCAAGATTTCCAGGAGCTGGAACTGGTTTTAATGATCAGTGAAAACAACTTCCTGTTCAGAAACGCTGCCTCCACACTGACCGAGAGGCCTTGCTATAACCGGAGAGCTTCCAAACTGACTTACTAAGTGTGGCAGGGACCTTTGATCGCTGGGTGTCGTGACAGTGCGCATCACTTCCAGGCCCAGGGAGAGCCGTGGATCGAAATGTCTCGCGCGTCCCCAGAGGGCCCCGGTGCCACTGCGTAATTGACACTAACATCGTTCTGCCATGGTGGGGAGCCCCTGCCCCCCCACCCCCCGCAGCGGTGCCACACTCTTCCAAGCCTCTTGGTGCACAATAAACCTGCTGCTTGAAGCTGTGAACAGCTGCGAAGCTGGAGAGGCACGAGCCGGCCATCCTGAAGCCACTCTTTCCCGTGCCCCACCTGAGCGGCCCGTCCCAGCAGAGGCGGGGAGCGCGGGGCGTGCCTGCGGCCCCGCCTGTGGACAGGGCACTCGCAGGGCTCTCTTGGGGTGCCCCGCTCACGACCCTCCTGAAGGGTGATCCGGCTAGAGAGGAAACTGGGGAAAGCACAGGTACCGGACCCGTGAATTTTTAGCGTGACTTGTGGCTGTGAGGTGTCACATTAACATATTTACACATGTTACTCAGGTCTAAAGCAATTAAGAATACAGTTACCTAGTTGTAAATAGGCTGTTAACCAAAAGAGCTGCCCGTCCCCCACGTTGTCCTCTGTGAACCCTCGGGGCCGCCTCTCCGTCTCCGTCGCCTGGACAGTCGTCTCTGCATTAACGAACGCTGTGCTCACTAGAGGGCTCTCTGACGCTTTCTAAAAAGAGCAGCCGTTTTCTTTTTCTTTTTTTTCTTTCTTTCTTTCTTTCTTTTTTGTTTTTTAACCCTCTGCAGTGATTCCTGGCCTCTCTCGGCTGAACCGCACCATCCGATAAAGAACATGGACGTGGCGGGCCCATGGTCCCCACTCGCGTGCCCCGCCAGGAATGAAAAGCAGTTTGCGAAACTGCATCCGATGCTATTTTACAGGTGATTGTGGGAAGCTGAGCTAAAGGAGTTTGCGTCTTTATTTTTGTATCAAAGATCGAGGTTTATTTTGAAATCAGTAGGTTTTTACACAACTCTGAAATCCGTCGCTTTGGTAAACCAACTGTTGGGCCTTAGGGTCCCCCACTGCCCCCCCCACACACACCCCCATCCACCCACCACCCACCACCCACCACCCGCCACCCTTCCGCTTCACAGAGTCAGCTTGTGCGTCTACCAGGCTTGGTTCTGGAAAAACACCGGATTACACTCTTGAGCGCGGCCCAAGAATCTTTGCAAAGAACGCATTGGAGAATTCTCTCCCTTCCTTTCGGTGTCATTAACGTTAAAAGAGCCACCGTCTTGTTGAAACCAACAGCTTCACTTTAGAAATACGAACGAGCACACTTAGATGAACAGGAGGGCAGGGGTTCGAAGCCCGCTGCTGAAGAACACACCCCTGCCGCCGTAGGAAGCTTCCTCCCCATAGTGCCTATAGTTTCCAAAGAAACTTCACTTCCTAACAGCGGTAATATTTTTGGAACACTGAGACTGATCGCTGACAGAGCGAGAACATGCAGGAGGTGTCAGTGGAAGAGAGTGCTGTGCTCAGAGAACGGCCTCGACACCAACTCTGAGGAATCACGCCATTCAGTGATTTCCCCCCGGGTCCCCTGCTTCCCGATGGTAATGTGCTCACCCCTGTCCGGTGTCTGCATCGCAGAGTCAGACTCTGCAGGGAAGTTCCTTGTGAGCCCCTTCCCTGAAGTGCTTTAAAGAAGAAACAGCCCTTGTGTTTCAACCAGTCCGAAGCTAGTTTACCGAGACCTACTAACCTTCTTTTCCTTCCCTTTGGAAAAAGTGATCGTTTACTGATACCATTAAGGCTAGTTCGATCCTGGCGGAAACAAATCCAGTATTAATTTGTGTCTAAATCACTGGGGTTAAAATCTTCTAGCCACTTAGATCAGTTAGAGACTCCAAAGCAGTGGGGGTCCTGGCCGGGAGGGAGGTGGCCTACGGAGTGGCTCCAGGGCATTTCCCCGGTTCAGAAACCGGCGAGGGCGACCGAGGTGTCTCAGGCCAGGGATGAGCCCTACGCTGGCCTCTCTCCTCCCTTGTAAAGTCCTCCGTGGCCACCTGACCCCTGCCTCGGGCGGTGGGATGAGACTAACAGTTGCCGGTAGGGGAGTTTAAAGTCTTAATCTATGCATTCAGAGAAATATTTTTATATGCTTTGTGTAATTTATAACAAGGATTTTTTTTTAGCTTTGTTAACTGTGAACTCACCCCCCCCACCGCATAGTTAACGCATGTATTCACACCGTGTGTAAACATTCACCCAAGACGGTTTTCTCTGTGCATTGCCGACTGTTCAAACATACCAAGTATTATTAAAATTAAATATTAATGACCCAAGCCCCCTATTCTTTCATTTTGGCCTCCTAGGCAGCACTATACTTCAAATCACAGGGGGGCTCAAAGCTGGATGGCCCTGGGGACACACACGGTGCCCGAGGGCACAAGTCGAAGGGACCGTTCACCCAGCTGAGCCTCCTCTATCTTTTTGCTGCCAACGGCCCCGTGCCTGTCCGGGGCCCCTGCAGACACTGTGCAGTGCCTTTCTTCCTGGCTCTCAGTGGCCAGCTTCCTCTCCCCGGGGTAGGTGAGCCAGGATGGAGGGCTTCCTCCCTTGGCCACCTTTTTTGATCATCTGTTTACTTTACGCAACTGAGCCTCTCCTCTGGGCCGGCAGCACCCGCCAGGGCCTCGGTGAGCTCGGAACCGAACTCCGAAGGCAGGAGAGGAAGTACAGCCTCCCGCCTTCAGATCCTCAGCCGAGTGCGATGCCGGGTGAATCTGCGCTTCTGGGGGCCGAGGGCCGCTAGAGCCTCACAACGCCGACGTCATGCCCAACTGGCCTAATAAATCAGAGGGCACAGCAGAGACCTTTTCTTAGCACCAAGGAGAGGCAGAATAATTTGGGCATTTGTGCTTTCATATTCGCTTCATCACAAGGATGGAAGTCATCTTCCACACACTCATAAACATCCTGGGCAGAAACAGGCTGCCAAAAACAATGTGATTAACCTTTAACGGATGGTCCCGCAGCACCGGCTGACCAAATACAGAGAGGGAAACCATCAAAGGCGCCATCTCCGCACCTACCACAAGCCATTAGGGAAGAAAGACAAACTACCCCCTACGACCGGTCACCTCACACCAAGGAGAAAGGGCGACGAAAGGGGAGAGTCAGACACCAGGAAACTCAGGACGGTGACAAAGAGAAGAGACCCCTTCCAAATTTCCAAATAAGCCTGGTGCCAGGTAGATGCTACCTACAGAAAATGGTTGGTTTGCTCAAGACCAGATTTAATTCGGCCCTTCATCTTGCTTACCAGTCAGACTGGCAGGGCTGGGGGCAGCCTCTGGGCTGTTCTGTGCTCTCACACTCGGCTATGGCCACGCTGAGGAACGCCGGCTATGAGAACCTGTCTGGAAGAGCCTTTTTTTTTTTTTTTTTTAACTTATTTATTTTCAGAAAGAGAGAGCGAGCGGGGGAGGGGCAGAGAGACAGGGAGAGACAGAATCCCAGGCAGGCTCCGCACTATTATGGCAAAGCCCCAGGCGGGGCTTGAACTCACAAACCAGGAGCTGATGGCCTGAGCTGAGATCAAGAGTCAGACGATTCATCGACTGAGCCCACCCAGGAGCCCCTGGAACAGGCCACTAAAGGAGCAAGGGAGTAAAAAGCACCAGGCCCATCCCAGCCCCCAGAGAAGTAGGCTTGGAGGTCTGAGGGATAACATAAACGTGATGGGGTTCACGGCCACCTTCCCAGGAGGCCTCGGGTCAGATTTCAGGGGCTTCATTTCTCGACTTTTCACAGTATCTGCACAGCAGACCAGGAACTACTGGCAATTACCCAGTGAATTTTGGCTGTCAAGACTGTATTTCTAGCCAAAAGCTCTGGAGTCTGAAGTTTTCAGATAATCCCAGCCATGCAGAGGTATATAAAGCCTACCTCCACCTCTCTCCCTCCCTCCAGGCCTCCCGCAAAGGTCCTAACCCCCAAACCGAATGAACAGGCAGAGAAAGGCCACATCCAGTATCCATGTTGTTGGTCATGTAGCTTTATTTCATCGGTGCTCCATTTTTAATGGATTCAGGCCAGCACCCCAGAGTACAGGACTCAGTTCCTAAGGACGGCCTGACCCAGCAGTCTGCTGTTCCAGGAGGAAAAGGCTTGACTTAAAAAAAAAAAAAAATCCTTCTGAGTAGAAAATATGAAAAGTCATACAGAGCAGAGAGGTCATTCCATGAAATGATTGAAAACAGCACTGTATGGCAATAACACCGGGCTGGGGATCAGGAGACCCGCGCATCAGTCTGGGCTCTGCCTCAAACTAGCTGTGACCCCGGGCCCGTCGTTCACCCCTTGGGCCTCGCTTCCTCATCTAAAGCATTTAGCACAATTATTCTGGGAGGCACTTTCCAGGGCGACAATCTAGCCAATGCCCCCAGTGTTTGTTTGTCATCACGTCCAGGCTGCAGACATACTTGGTGTTTTTTCCTCTCCCGATGAAACCTGGGAATGGCCAGGGGGATGTCCCGGGCATATATCTTAGGCAAGTCCGGCGTCTCTGGCCATCCCGTAGAAGATGCCTCTGGCTGCGATGAGGTTGGTTGGAGAATCGAATTCAGCTATCGTCCCTTTGTCCAGGACAAGGACCCTAGCCGAAGAAAAGAAGTGGTCAGGTCTCCACCAGCTTAGCGCAGGCCCTGATTGTCCAGCGCTGCCCTTCTGGGTCCCGCTCAGGCCCTGCAGGGACATGCCAGTCCTCCCACTTCGGGCGACCCACCCAGCACAGCCGCTAGGCCACATGTGCACATTTGCAAGGCTGGTTATTTTAGCAGCTCCGTTTGCCCTCCTAGCAGATGAGACGGCTTCTGGGATCAAACACAAGCTTCCTATTCATCTCTGCTCTTCGGGGCCTCCGAAAACCTTCCCTAATGAGCCCTTCCCTCACCCGGGGTCACAGGACTGTGCGCAGGGAGCCACGGGCCTGTGCGCTGGGCCCTGTGCGTCTCCTCCTGCTTTGTGCCAACTCACAAAGGCACACGGCAGGAAACTGGGCTGCAGTGAGGCCTGACACTGGAATCTAGGACTTGGGCTGCAAATCTGGCTGCTGCTGATGGATGGATACACACACACACACACACACACACACACCTGGGATTAGAATCCCCTGCCAGTTAAACACGGGGTGCACCCGGTGCAGGGCTAACAGCCTGGCTCCCGGTGCAGTGGGGAGGCAGGAGATGAATGGGCCCCCCTGATCCGGAGACGCCCCTCGATGGCGCCCTCCCTTACGCCTCCCTTACGCACGGGGCTCCTGGACACAGGTCCCGGGAAGGAGCTTGTCTGTGCAGAGCCCTGCCTGGTCACTGCCCGAACAAGCCCGAGAGGTGCCCCTCCTCCCTTCAGTGGTTTCTCACTGTCCAGGGTGAGAACTGCTTTACCGTGGTCCTCAAAGTGCAGCACAGTGGGGGGCCGGTCCCTCTCTCCTTGTCTTGGCTCCGCTCCCCCTTCACCCCCTGCACTCTGGCCTCATGTGCCCTCCTACCTTTTCATGTCTTGCATCCTTTGCCTGAGATTTGCGTCCGTACCCCATCTCCACACCTGCTCCCCAACTCTCACTCATCTTTTAGGACCTGGCTGGGGCTTCCTTCCCTTAGGAAAGATAGTGTCCTGGCCGCCTTGTGTGGATTGGCTTCCTCCGGCCTACACACGTACCCCTGCTTCCTTCCTGCAGGCTCGAATTACACGTTTGATAGCATGAATATTGGATCGATTCTACCAGAATGGATGAGTTCCCAACCTCCAAGGTTGGTTGGAGCCTTCTACCCTCAAGGCTGTCAGTGAAGACCATCTTCGTTAGGCCTGGGGACAGAGCCTCTCGGCCCATCCATGTCCCTTGTCTGGACCCAAGGCCTGGCACCTCGGTCTGCCCTCTCTTCTCTCAGTGGGGGCTCGGATAGGGGTTGGGTAAGGATGGAACAGACAGGTGGCGGCACTGGGCATTCTCGGCTTCTGAGAATGCCCCTGGGGGCTGTGTGGGGACACTTCTGAGGCGGGGACAAGGTCTGCCCATTGCCCTGTCCACGGCTTCCTCCCTACCTCCCCATGCCCGTGGGTGTTTATTTTGTGAATAAAGCCCTATTGCTGTACCCCAACCACACTCCTTTGACATAGATTTATCACAGTTTCCTCCTCTTCCTCCTCCTGAGCCCTCACATCGCCAAGGGGGCCAGGCTGCCAGGCCAGCACCACGTCACTTCCGTGAGGCTCCCCAGCCCCCGCCCCTCACCTTGTCCTCCAGCACCGCACCTTAGCGCTGGACACAATGAGGGAATAGGTCCCAGATGTTTCTTTTGGCTGAGTGGCTGGCTCCCCAGGGAAGGCGTGAGATCCCCAGGCCAAGGCCCTTTCCCTGATCCTTAGAGGAATGTGCTACTGCTACGGAGGTTACAGTAAGGGGCTGGGGAGAAACTAACACTTCCCAGGGTCGCCCGCACTTGAAACGCTTCATCTCGCTGACTCCTTACAACAACCCCAAGAGAGAGGTTTTGCACCTTGCCCTAGGTCACACAGCAGTCAGCAGCTGCTGGGGCTGGGGCGCAGCCCTCTGCTCTCACACCCCACGGTGCCTGCTCCCATGGGTCCAGGCTGTCAGGGTCCAGCCCACCAGGGCAGGGACTCTAGGATCACGTGCCTCTCTTAGCGGCTTCATCTGTACACCCAGCTCGGGTTGTGGGAGCGAGGTACCAACAAGGGGATGGCTCCGTGGCCCCTCTAACCCAGAGGGAGCGCAGGGAGTGAAGGTTTCGTCATGATGGACCGGGATCCACCTCATAGCATTACCAGAAGGCTGGAGGGAGGCAGCCTGGGCACGATTCACAATGCCAAGGGAGCCCCGGGTGCCCCCTCCCTACATGTTGGTGACCTGAAAGTGTCCAGTATGTCTCAGAAAACATCACTGTACTGCCCACCGTGCATAGATGACTCCACTCTGACCTGCCCCTTTCCGTAACTCGAGGAGCCCTGCTCTGTCAGACAATCCCACAAACTCTTCCATGTCCGGATAACCTTAGTCGGCATGCCCCTTCTTGGTGGCCTAGATAACCCCACCAGGTCCCTCCTGGCTGAGGCACCCCACCTGGTATAGTCCATGATGGTGTTGAGCCGGTGTGCGATGGTCAGCACCGTGCAGCCCTCAAACTGGGTGCGGATGGTAGCCTGGATGAAGTTGTCAGTCTCCAGGTCGATGGCAGCCGTGGCCTCGTCTAAAACCAGGATGCGGCTCTTGCGGAGCAGGGCTCGGGCCAGGCACACGAGCTGGCGCTGGCCCAC